TGATAGTACAAATCTAGATAAAGGTGCATAATTCGAGATCCATGATTACAACATCTCAAGGGTAACAACTTGTTTGGATTTTAATTTAGCAAAATATCGACGAGAATTGAAGGATTATCTAATCGAACTTCAATTTGGACAATCGACTCGCTTCATAATGTTTGAAGGAATGAGATTTTTGGTAGTGTCATTTAAACTACCGTAGAGAATTGGTTCGTCAGTGGAGTGAAAATTTGATTTCGGATGTTTGACTTATCATCAGATTTAAATTATTACTTGCGACGTTAATCCAATGGCCTATGAACAGTTCTCTTATATCTGTGACCTTTGGACTGACATTGATCTGTTACCTCTAATATTGATCACCTAGCATGTGATCAATTCCTTTGGATATGTGACCTGTAAACATGGATCTGTTACCTATGTAAAATGACTTGTGGCCTACGATCTGTGAACTTGAATCTGTGACCTGTTATCAATGCACAAAAATATTTGACATATAATCTGTGATAAGTTAATATTGAACTGTGACTTGTTGACATCGATATGTAACCTATGCACTATGACCAATGACCTATGACTTGTGAATTTTAACCTATGAACATAAATCAGTGATATGTGATTGATTCTATTTGGTCTATGATATGTGGACATTCTGTGACCAATACACAATGACATGTGGCTTGTGACAATTAAATTGTGAATATATATATTATACCTGTTGATGCTACCAAAAATCGTACCTGAGCAATTCCGAGCTTGACGACTGATGACGTGCACGAACGTGATCTTTCGATACCTAGAACAAAGTCGTCGAGGTGTGTTCTCGTCGCCCCTCCGATGCTTAAGTCAGAGAGAGAATTTGTGCTTAAGGTTATGAACTGAAAATTATGTAAAACGTACCTGAATAATGATTAAGGACTTTGTATTTATAGAGGTAGGTAGTGTGTTCATACTAGGATTCCGTAGTGCACTTGTAATAGGACAGCTTGATTTTGCAATCTTATACCAATGAGTCCTACGCGAGATACGAGTTTGAATTGCGGTATAACTGGGATACCAATTATTTAATAGAGTTCTTCTGGGCATAGGAGATATAGGTTGAGGAGTTTTAGTCAGAATAAATTTCTCATTGGATAAGGCGTTGACGTTGAGGACATGTCGAGGTCATAATCACGAGGACACGTCGAATGACGTTCCACGAACTCTTAGGTCAAGAGCTCGGGCATGTGAAAGACATCCCGAGCATACTGATACACAAATCGACGAAATATAGTCCTCGGGTTTGTATACGTCGGGAACAATATTTGGTAATATCACTGGCCCCCGTGCACCTGTGCTCAACTATATACATGAGGATAGGTGTAAAAGATCAAAGTTACAGTCCTCAGTATAATACCCCCGACAATTCATTGCAGAGGAAGGATTCGTGAGGGGTGACGTCAGATGTGGTAATGACGCCAGCCCTAGTACAAAGGCAGTGTAACTTTTAGACCTTGGGATGTAGGACATGTGGCATAATCGAACTGTTCAGCATGCGACCTTTGGCCTCCCACCCATATTTCCCTATATAAGCCTCATTTCCTATTCATTTTTTTACTTTTTCACTATTAGTAAACCTTGTTGGAGTCGTCGGGATAAGGTGAGTCCTCTAGACTTTAAGTTGTTTGTTTTTAGAAAAGTCTAATTTAAGGTAGGATGTCGAGCAGTGATAGTGATACGTCGTCCTCGAGTTCAGGAACCCCAACCGAGGACTTAGGGCAGTCAATAATACCTATGGCCGTCCCCATAAGTGATAATCCTCGAGCTCAGGATATCCCGACACCGTTAGTATACCCCGACCAACTGTGTAGGTTTAAGGAGCATTTAGCAGTGGCGACTGCTAGGGAGTTCGGCCTGATGCCGAATTGTGATATTAGATCTCCTGGGGATGAGGATAGGGTAGCTATTGCTCGGGAAGGAGAGTTTGTCATTTTTAAAGATTCTCTAAAGGGGGGATTTAGGTGGCCACTGCATCTTTTTTTCCTCGCACTTTTGACTGAGCATAATATGAGTCCGGGGCAATTAGTGCCGAATGGGAGGAGGATGTTGACATATTTTTTTATTGCTTGTAGATACCTTGGGATTATATCGTATGTCGACTTATGTAGGATGGTCTTCAACCTAAAACAACTCCCCCAGTACTCTTGTTTTGCCTATCTCTCAACCCGAGGAGGGTTTAGAATCCCGAGGATGCCTAGATCACTAAAAGGGTCGAAGGATAAGTGGTTTTATGCTATACCTCAAGATCCCAACGTTCCCTTTAGTCCTCGGTGGAGGTGCCCGATACTGCTAGGTTTTGTGGGGGTCAGGCGTATTTTGAGCCGTTGGAGAGGCATAGGCAAATGCTAGAGAAGCTCGAGCCCCTCGTTTATGACTTGGATGATATCATCTGGGATGATATCCTCGAGCTTGCGAGCATGAAAGGCATCGAGGGTAGGATACGTGATTTTAACGCTTTTAATTTCCTGACCTATATTTTTATTAATGCTCGTGCTAATAACATGTCATTTTTTGCAAAAATGACGTTTGACCCAAGTGCCCTTCGTCAGGCAGTTAACAAGAAGTCTAAGGCTCCCCAGGCTTGGGCTCCAGGTCAGAGGAGGGGCCAAAAGAGATCTCGGGATTCGAGGCTTGAAAAGTAGACCAGTGGGCCCGATGAATCGTCTAGGCCCCGAGGACCGTCCCCGGGAATAGAGAGGACGGGAACTCAGCAACAAGATCTTCTGGGGACTCCTCGAGGGTCTCATCCTCGAGGACCTATTGACGTGGTCGACCTTGAGGATGAATGCCTGCCACCGGACCCTGCTAATCCCAAGGGATTCTCCTGGTGTCAGTTCGTGCTCAGCATTGTTGATAAGTATCGGGCAGACGTCGATTTAAGCAATGGCTTGAGGGCTCTCGAGGCTATGGCCTTGAAGGTAAGATCGTCGATAGTTTTTATTTTTATTATTATTTTTTGTAATCTTTACTTCCCGAGGTTAAGTTATCCGCACTCTTTTTTCCAGACATTGGGCATAGCTCGAGGTCTTTCCTTAAAGGGGAAAGACGAGTCTTCAAAAATGGCCAACCTCGAGGGTGCCGTTTCTGCTCGGGATCTGAGGATCACCGACCTCGAGGAGGAACGTACTCAACTGATGAGGGAGCTCGAGCAGATGAGAAATGATCTTCACAATGCTCAGGATGAGGCCGGTACTGTGAAGGACGAGGCTGAGCACCTCAAACTCAAGCTCGAGCACACTCAAAAAGAATTGGATGCAAAGCTGGCCAATGCTCGAGATGATGCAGTCGAGGACTTTAAGAAGTCTGACGCCTTCAACGAGTTGAAGGACGAGTATGCCATGGGTTCATACTTTCATGCCTTGAAGGAAGCTTGAGCTTTCATTCGCCTGAGGCCAGATGCTCGCCCTGAGGATCTAAAGTCAATCCCTGAGGTGGCTGATGACCTTCAGCTTTCTGAGTCTGAAGAAAATGTTGGGGATGAAGACGTCGATATTGAGGGTGACGATGTCGAGGAAGGCCAAGGCAGTCAGAACACCGACGCCTAAATTTGATCAGTCCCTATGTATTTATTTTGATTTGTAATTTTTGATGTAAAATGCCCGATCTTAATGGAAATAGTTTTTCCTTTTTACCGAGCTCATTTTGTATTATCGACGCATTTTTATTTCATCAACATATGCGTCGAACTTTTGTTAATTAATATCCCGACGACTGAGAAGAATTAATTATCTCGACGATAAAGAAGATTAATTATCTCGACGACTAAGAAGATTAATTATCCCGACGACAGTAATGAATTAATTATCCCGACGACTAATTAATCATCTCAACGATTGAGAAGAAATAATTCGACTTTAAGCAAGTTATAATGTCGAGGACAGTGGTGAATGTAGGATATAGTTTAACACTTGATGGTAAAAATATCCCGACGTCTAAGATAAGTTAATTCTCGACGATTGAGGAGAATTAATTCGATTTTAAGCGTGTCATAAGGCCGAGGACAGTGATGAATATAGGATATAGTTTAACACCTTGACGGTAAAATTATCCCGACGTCAGTATTACCTCGAGGACTAATCGCGATGGGTGGTAACCTCGAGGTGTATGAAGAATTGTGACCAACCTCTGTACAGAAGTATATCCCGAGCTCTCACTTTGGAACCTTGGACAAAAATTCAAGGATAGATGGTCGGGGATGTATGTCCTCAAGATGTTTACTTGTGCTGCACTATTTTGATGTGCTAATTATGGGCTCCAAGGTTTTTGGTGCTTGCGCGAGACAAGGCTTTGGTGCTTGCTCGAGGCAAGGCTAGGTGCTTGCTCGGGGCAAGGCTTTGGTGCTTGCTCGAGGCAAGGCTAGGTACTTGCTCGGGGCAAGGCTTTGGACTGCTTCCTCAAGGGCAAGACTTACATTGCTTGTCGAGGACAAGGCTTAGGGCAGCTTGCTCGAGGGCAAGGCTTACATTGGCTTGTCGAGGACAAGGCTTAGGTCAGCTTGTTCGAGGGTAAAGCTTACATTGGCTTGTCGAGGACAAGGCTTAGATAATTCCTGGACGCAAAGCAAACTATCGGGCTGTTATACACAAGGTTTGAATTTATTAATTCCTCAGACTGGACTTGGATTTATATTGTATCCAAGCCGCCTACGTACCCAGACGGGATCAAGTCGAACATAGTTTATTACAAAAGAAAATAGAAAACATGCATGGGCATGCAGGCCCGTTAAACTAGAAATAAAATGCAAGGGCACGCAGGCCCGAAGAACCAAAAAAATAACATTCAGAAGAACTAAAAATGCAAGAAAAAAAGAAAATCTCCTAGATGGCATCGAGAATGTTACTTGTAATATATTTTCAGATTATCGGCATTCCAGGGCCTTGGAAGAGGTCTACCTGAAGTGTCTCTTAGGCTGTATGCTCCTTTGCAAACCTGTCGTATGATCTCAAAGGGTCCTTCCCAAATGGGCCCGACCTTCCCTGGGGAGTGACCTACTGCTTCGGCCCTCCTCAAGACTAAGTCGCCAGCTCTGAACCTCGAGTCTTGACTTTGTTATTAAAATGTTTGGCTGTCTAGTTTGGTAAGAGGTCACCTTTATATCGGTTTGCTCCTGTACTTCTTCCAAGAGATCAAGGTGTTCAGTTGTATGCCTCGAGGTTTCTGGCTCGAGCCTCCTATGGCTTGGCAGTCTAATTTCCACCGGGACCATTGCTTCAATGCCATAGGCTAACATAAAAGGGGTTTCTCCTGTGGTTGTCCTATGAGTTGTTCTATACGTCCATAGTATAGAAGGCAGCTCATCGGACCAAGAATCCCTAGCATTACTAATTCTTGTTCGGAGGTCTTGTAATATGATTCGATTTGTTACCTCGACCAGACCATTTCTCTGAGGATGCGAAACTGAGGCCAGACGGTGATCAATCCCAAGGTTTGAGCAAAAGCCCCTAAACTGTTGATTGTCAAATTGCCTGCCATTGTCGGTGATGAGGACTTTCGGTATCCCAAACCTGCAAATGATAGACCTCCAAGTGAAGGTTCTTAGCTTGGGCTCCGATATCGTTGCGAGAGGTTCGGCCTCTACCCATCTTGTAAAATACTCTACTGCTACAGGAACAAACTTTTATTGACCTCTTGCCACAAGAAAGGGGCTGAGGATGTCAACTCCCCATTATTCAAATGGGGCCGAACAGTTAATGTTGGTGAGGTCTTCGACCGATGAATGGATAACATTACCAAACCTCTGGCACCTATCACATCTCTTAACATATTCTGAGACGTCTTTCTTCATAGTTGGCCAATAGTACCCATATCGTATGAGTTTAAAGGCCAGGGCCCTGGCTCCTTGATGATTCCTGCACACACCTTCATGAACTTCGAAAAGGGCCTGGGATGGTTTTGATAGTCTAAGGCACCTTAAGTATGGAAGAGTAATACTTCTGCAAAAGAGGACACCGCTGATCATGCAGTACCTATCGAGCTCTGATGCTTCTAGCCAACCTGGCATCGCTTGGTAGATTTCCATTTGTGATGAATTCTATGATTAGGTCCATCCAGGATGGTTCGTTGTCAATGCCCATGACGTTGGGGATTTGATTGATGCTGGGTTCTGTGATGACTTTCATGTGAACTGTTCTATCCAGGCTCTCTATCCCCATGAACACAAGCCTAGATAATGCATCGGCTTTTTCGTTGTCTTTTCGAGCAATTTTTGCAATTTCACAACTCTTGAATTTTCGTTGAAGATCCTGAACCTTCATGTAGTACAAACTCATTTTCTCGTCTTTCCTTTCGAATGATCCTTCAATCTGTCCGACCACCAGTTGTGAATCGCTGAATACCTTCACGAACTCGAGCTCAAGGCTAAGGGCTAGCTCCAGAGCAATAACGACGGTCTCATACTCGGCCTCGTTATTGGTTACTTCAAACTCGAACCTAAGAGCGCATTGAATCTCCGTATGTTTGTCAGGATTGATGATGATGACCCCTACACCCGAGCCCGACGAGTTCGATGCTCCATCTACAAAAATTTGCCAAGTGTCCAAATTGGTGCTCATGCTCGAGCCGTCACTGGCCCCCGAGGCCTAGGGGTTAGTTCTGCAATGAAGTCGGCTAGTGCTTGGGCTTTGATAGATGGACGTGGTTTGAATTCGATGTCAAATTCTCCAAGCTCGATCGCCCATTTCATTAGTCTTCCTGAGACGTCTGGCTTCTGAAGTATATGCCTAAGTGGTTGATTAGTGAGCGCTACAATAGGGTGAGACTGAAAATACTGTCGGAGTTTTTGTGCTGCTATCACCAAGGCAAGGGCAAGTTGTTCCACCAAAGTATACCTTGTTTCTGCATCTAGTAGGACCTTTCTTACGTAGTAGATAGGTTGTTGGACTCTGTTAACCTCTTTCACCAAGACCCCACCGATCGCGTTTTGAGATACGGCCAAGTACAAAAATAAGGTGTCACCAGGCTCAGGCCTAGTGAGAATAAAAGGAGATGCTAATGTTTGCTTGAGCTCTTGAAAAGATTTCTCACAGTCTTCACTCCAATCAAAGCCTTGGTTTCCTCTGGGGACTTTGAAGAAGGGATAGCACCTGTCTGATGCTCGGGACACGAACCTGTTCAAGGCTGCTATCCTACCGGTCAACCTCTATACCTCTTTCTTGTTCCTTGGTGATTCCATTGATGCTAAAGCTTGTATTTTGTTAGGGTTAGCCTCTATCCCCCAATGAGTGATCATAAAGCCCAAGAACTTGCCCAAGGCTACGCCAAATGCACATTTTGCGGGGTTCAACTTCATTCTGTACTTTCGCAAGGTGTCGAAAACCTCTTCAAGATCTGAAATATACTGGTCCACCCGTTTGCTCTTGACCATCATGTCATCAACGTACGCCTCCACATTCCTTCCTATCAAATTAGCGAAGACTTTGTTGATGAGCCTTTGGTATGTTGCCCCTGCATTCTTCAAATTGAAAGACATGACCTTATAACAGTATATGGAGGAATCAGCCATGAATGACGTCTTTTCTTGATCTTCCTCAGCCATGAGGATTTGATGATAACCAGAAAATGCATCCAAGAAGCTGTATAGCTTATGTCCAGATGTGCTATCCACCAAGTTGTCAATCCGCGGTAGGGGATAACTATCCTTTGGACATGCTTTGTTAAGATCTGTGAACTCAATGTAGACCCTCCACTTACCATTGGCCTTCTTTACTAAAACAACATTGGTAAGCCAATCGAGATATTGGACCTCCCGAATGAATTGAGCACTGACGAGTTTGTTAATTTCTTCGCGAATGGCTTCCCGACGTTCTGGGGCAAACTGTCTTTTCCTCTGCTTTACTGGTCTGGCCCCTGGGCTAATGTTAAGCCTGTGGACTGCAATTTTGGGGTCTATCCCTGACATATCCTCAATCGTCCAGGCAAAAAGTCAATGTTGCGAGATAAGCAACCAATAAGTTAGGTCTTTAGGGTAACGTCAAGATCCCGACCAATCACCACCTTCTTATCATGCTTGAGCTCGATTTTCATCAATTCTTCAACAGGAGCAAGTCTGACTTGTTGCGCGGTCTCGGGCTCTGTCCTCGAGATTTGCATGACGTCGTTATTTATTTCCCGAACGCTGGCAACATAGCATTATCTGGCAGCTATTTGGTCTCCACGCACGACCCCAACGCCATTGCTTGTTGGAAACTTCATGGCTAGGTGGAAAGTAGACACAATGGCTTTGATCTTGTTCAGGAGTGGTCTTCCCAGAATAGCGTTATAGGCCATTAAGACACGTACCACTTGAAAAGATGTCATCTCCGTAACCTGTTTCTGGCCAGAACCCAAAGTTAGAGGAAGCTCAACAACGCCCTCTGGAGTGATGACTCCTCCCCCAAACCCTTGGAGAGGAGTTTTAACCGCTTTGAGCTGCTGAGATGAGATTTCCATTTTGGCAAAAGCCTCTTGTGAGAGTATATTGGCCGCACTCCCGTTGTCAACCAAGATTCTATTTACTTCAAAATTGGCCACAATCGCTGAGATGACCAAGGCATTATCATGTGGAAGTGATACACCTTCCAAGTCCCTGGTTCCAAAAGTAATATCCTCCAACTTTCCATGAGGCATCCCAGAGGCCAAGGCATATTGTCGGGCATATTGTTTTCTTCCACTGTTCGAGTCTCCTCCCGAGGCAATATCCCCAATGATGATATTGATGATTCCAGCAGTGGGTTGACCATCCCTTTTTGCTTCAGGGGCTCTTTCCCTACCACGATCGTTCTTCGGGTGTTTGTCGTTACTGACGTAGGAACTCAGGAGTCCTCTTTTAATAAGGGCTTCAATCTTTCGTTGTAGGGCCTTACAGTTTTCCGTGGTATGCCCATGATCACGATGGAACTCACAGTACGTGTTCATGTCCCTAGATTCGGGTGGTGACCTCATTCTAGCAGGCCAATTGAGTTCCTTCATATCCTTGATCTCCATCAATATATTTGTTTTTGACATATTTAAACGCGTGAATGACATCGGGAGAACCTCCTGTCTCTGTTTTCTCCACGGTGGTTCTTGACGGGGGTTCGGGTCGTGTGGTCGTTTATGCTCGACCCTATCATGGGATGGTCCAACCTTTCTCAGGTTCAGTGTTTCTTCCATATTTATGTACTTCTCAACTCGGGTAAGAAGCTCGATCATTGTCTTTGGCAGAGTTTTGGATAAAGACATCTTTAAAGCCTCACACTTTATGGCATATGTGAGGGCAAAAACTGCTGCAGTTATATGTAGGTCGAGAATCTGAAGTCTTTCCTTGTTGAACCTGGTCATGAAGTCACGTAGGGTCTCATTTTGCCCTTGTCTAAGTTGCATAAGGGAAGTCCCTATCTTCCTGATGCGTTTATTGCTTGCGAAGAAAGCAGAAAACTTGTCCGTCAAATCTGAGAATGAGGCTATGGAGTTGGGCTCTAAGGTTGAGAACCAATCCCTAGCAGCATTCGTCAAAGTTTGCGGGAAGGTCTTGCACATCACCTGATCCGGTGCGACCTGTAAATTCATGACATCCGTGTATACGTTAAGATAATTGATTGGATCGATGGTCCCATCATATTCTTTGATCCTAGGATACTTAAATCTGTCTGGCAAGGGGAATGTCAATATCTCGGGAGTAAAGGGAGTGTTGGGACTGAATCTTGTTGACCCTTTGTTGCCCTCAAGTAGGCTGATGAGTGATTTACACTCATTATATTATGCCATTAATTTCATGATTTTGCTATCTTGAAGAGTATTTTAGAAGTGCTAACAAGTGATTTTTGTGTTGTTTTGTAGATTGATGGAAGTGGAGAAAACAAGAGCTAAAAGAGGCCAAAGGAAGGAAATAGGCAAAAGTTATCGAAATTGGATGAAATGACCAAAATGTAAGATATTGAAAGTTCGAGGATTAAAATGAAATTAATCAAAAGTCGTATTGAAACTCACGATGAAGATCCGAGAGCACCAGGAGTCAATTGGATGAAGGAAGGTGTCCAAGGGATCAAATTTAGTCAAAATATGATCACAAATCATTTTCCAACCGAAAAGTTACGCACCGGAGTTTTGGTCTCACATTGGGACCTGTTTTTGACATAGTAAACGATTGAATTGGGAAATGATGTTTGAAGAAAAGTTATAGCCCTTTGAGTTACCTTTCCAACACATCTTGAATCATCTCAATCGGACATTAGATGAAGAAGTTAGGCTAAAAATACTGAAAGAGGTGAAAACTGTCTTTTCCACCCGAAGTGGGCGCCACGGCGCCCAAGATGCTGAAAACAACAGTGAACGTGGCGCTGTGGTGCCCATCTTGGGTGCTGTGGCGCCGCCTGTGCGGAAAAA